GTGGATCACCACAAGCTGTCACCACCCATGTGAGAGAAGAGATTTGCTAAAAGTTTTGGCATAAGTTCACTTCTAGCTGGTCTAGAAAATCAAAATTTTGGTTGTATGTTTTTTGCTGGAAGATCGAATGGAAATTTTGACTAATTTCTGCTTTTTTGAGACGACTAGCTGACAAATCGTGAGCTACATATCGTAGATTGCTATTAGGAGCTTCTATTGGTTATAGTGTGACACTAGAACTTTCAGGAGAGGAGGGAAGTATGCCGGTGGTCTTAAGATTATTCTTCGACATTCAGCTAATTTAAGTTGTTCTCCTTAAAGCATCATAGGATGCTGGCTGAGAAGATCTACCGGAGAAAAACAGTTGAGTGAGTATGAGGGAAATGGAATCCGAATAAATTACATAAGATAATAGATGACCTTCGTCGGATCAAGATTTATGACCCAAGCATGGGAGCTCGAATTCGAATCTAAACGGATGGAAATGGCAAAATCAATTTTATATCTGTTTCAATTACTGAGCTGTAAAAAACTCAGGCGTGGTTTTGCCCTAGCAACTCAATTCCTTCGATTACAGCGACGAAAATCCGATAACATAGTGATTTTCTTAGTCGACTTGACCAAACATTGTCCCGACAAATGTCGCAGGGATTTTTCTCACTTTATTTACTCAGTATTGAATGAACATACTGATCGGCGTGTGAATAGCTGTGCAAGATGACGGTCACACTTTATCCCTATTTAACGAAGTATCGGACGTGGTCATACAGAGGCTATGCTCGTGAATTTATTCGTCTTCATCTTTTTATTGAGCGCGGTATCTGGGCAGGTAAGTGGTAAATATAGATGAAAAGTTATTATAGTTAAGTTGATGCTGAGATATTTGCAAAATTCCGGGCCACAGGTGTCTGCGGTGGGGAACGAACGCACTATTACCCTTTCCAGGGGCTAACGCATTCGCCACCACACCATGCAGGTCATTCATTTCGCCTGTCTCTCATTGTTCATTATATTATTCATTCTTTAAGAATTATAGTAGGCAATAAATATAAAGGTTAAGATATGATTATAGTTCCCTTTAGAGTGCTCGTTTAGGATCTAAATGTAATTTTGTCATTGAGAAACATCTACAGTGTACCGTACTTGTGATCGAACAGGGAATTGTTGTTGAGGTCATTCGTGCAAAATAATACGCATAAAGGGGGTGGTGTGTAATTAGATCATAAAGGCAACATTTTTGAATCTACTATAATTTCCAAATAATAAATAACAAAAAGTTTCGAAAAACTCCTAAATAAGTAATTTTCGCAATCTCGTAGGAGCCAACGTCAACAGCGTAGAAGACGTTCTAACTTGGCTAATTAAGAATTCATGAAATAAAACGAAAAAATCAGAAGGTACACTGTGAAATCCGATCTGAATAAACGTTCCGATTCTCCATCTTATGGACTATACCGTAGCTTTCCGATTAAAATATGATCTGGACGTCGTAAGCTTCTCCACCAAAGGTGAGCGATCGATAAAGAAACCTAGGTCGATTGGCTGCACAAATTGTTTTCGTAATGCAAGAATCCTAGCAATTTTTTCAAATATGACCCGTCTTTGACATCTGCTGTGCAGATCGTAGCGGTTCGTTTCCTGGCCCCCATCGTTCGCAAAGGTATTTGAAGTTTTACGCGTAGCTTCGGCTCTTGCTCGAGGATTTTTATCGCATCTTGAATATCTTAAAATGGCTTAAAAACAACAATAGGCCGAGTTTCGCGTAGTCGCGTTCTTCATGGCTGTTACAATTACGCCTAGCGATGTTGGTAATCATATCAACTCGTATCAAAGGATAACGGTCCTCACTCCTTTAGCCAACACAAAGTTTCTGATTCTTTCCTAAAATTCATTGCCGTTAATCTAGCTTATTTCTTCAATTAAACCCCGCTTCAATTACTCTTCGATGCTCGAGTTTCAAAGTCATAACTACCACCATCATTCTGCTCGAAACCAGATTAACCACTCACTCACTTAGTAACGCGTTTAACATCAGGCCTTTAAAAAACCTGAGGCAAACCGATAAAATATCGATTTATTCGCACTAATTTATTACTCTCTTTCTCAAATCATCTTCAAGAATAATGTGAAAGCGATTTCTTTCCCAATCTCTTCTTCGAGATATCTGTGCCAAAGCATTCAACGACTTCTACGAATAGAAAGAACAGTTACTGTTTCGTGATCAGTTTCCCTCCAGATTAGCTGGGTTACTGGATAGAAATGTCAAAATTCTTCTTTGCGTAAAAGGGAAAACCGCAAGAATGAGCTCTTATTATACGTTGTAGTTTGGTATTGTGATGTGACTAATGACAGCAAATGGGAGGAAGAAAGTTGCTCCAGATCACTTTTACACAAACAGCTCCGTATTCCATCTTTACAGAAATAAAATAAATGTGTTCGCATATTAAAGACAATTTCGTTCATTGGAAGGGTACGTGTGATGCAGTGGTCGGAGGTGCCCTGAAATACACATCTGGTCCTCGCGCCCATGGACCACCAAGCCTTCCATCACTCCAGAGTCGGCAAATTGATACCAGACTTGTCTGGGAGGATAGCAGCGCTGGCTCGATACATCGGTAGGCCACCGGGGTCACCGCGAGTCATTGTAAAAATTAGATATGCATTCAATCACCTCCGAACTATGCTTAATGAAGTCGAATGCATGGGGCATCGCCCAGGGGCTGATCAACGCCGAGAGTTTTTCTTTTTAACTTCGTTCACTTTAAAAATTACCTGCTCTACACCAATGCTTAATTACTTACTAGCATCGTTGGTCATGTGAACTGGAAAACGTTTCAGTCGTGTGGACGAGATGTCTGTAACAACCAAGGCACGTGTTTTGGAATGAAAACGGCGCCTATGTGTATTTGTGACGCTGGATTCTTCGGCATGAGATGTGAACAGGGTATGGACTCTTTTAAATTATGCTAGCTTTTAAGGAGATCTGTTTACTATGTACATAAAGAAGTCTGAAAGAAAAAAACACGTTTCAGTCTGTGAATAATGTTAAATAGAAATTTATCACTTGTATAACAGCGACTGTGCTATCCAAAAAGAATAAAAAAAAACTTTTTGAACTATGTTTACCCCTTTATTCATTGTCTCTTCTTTTTTGAAGGCAGCGAATTATGTGAAACATAACCACAAAGTCGCTGAGGTATGAGCAATACTCCGAACAACAGCTGGGCAACAAACCAGATAGTACTCCTTCCGAGGACTCATTTCTATCCACCTCACCAGCTGAGGCCCTTGATCTTCTCATTTCAGACTATATTTTGGTAGCGGAGAGGAATTATAGATGAAACAAACTGCTATAAGTAATAACTTAAAAAACGACGGTTCTGATGCAGTACATGCAATACATGTGAGAAAAAATGATAAAGATGAATCGATCATCTTTGATCAATCTTTCAGAGTCGTGACGTGCATTTTAATTTACCAGGCATCGTTAGAGTGGAGATTGAATGCATTGAATGGATATTTGGTTTATAGAAGAACTAATGATGGCTTACCGATGCATAAACTTGGTGCCGCTCTGAGACACGTCTGGCACCAGTGTGGCGAATTTGGAAGGATGAACGGCTTGGTAAGCCGATGCGCAAGTCGAACAAGAGATCGATCCAGTGTTTCAGGCCACCTCTAACCACAGTGCTACATGCACCCTGATGATAAATTAAGTTAGGAAAGGCAATATGGAGAAAAAAATCGTCCCGTATTAACAATAACTGCTAAAATATGGATAACGAATACTATATACAATTACTATTTAAGTATCTCTTGATCAAGCAAAAACTGTTAATGTTTTCAAACTAAAGGATCACGGGCATTTCTTTATATAAAGAAAGGTTCCTGGAATGATTTAGAGAGGACTTCGTAATTGAATTGAATTAACTTCAATGATGCTGAGATATTTGCGAAACTGCGAACCGCTATCGAACGCAGCCAACAGAAATTACCCGTCAACTGAGAGACACGCGAAACGAAGGACCCGCATGGTGTGGTGGTGAGCGCGTTACTCCCTGAAAAGGACAATAGCGCGTTCGTTCCCCACCGCATACACCTGCGGTCCGGAGTTTTGCAAATATCTCAGCATGCATCATTGAAGTTATATTTCGCAATATACCCTGCCATTAAAGAGAGTAGGCAGTAAACAATGTTAAAAATGAATTGAAATAGTTTTAGATATGGAATTACTGTCATTATGTGACTCAAAGCTTGCCTGCAGTGGAAACGGACTGTGCATCGGTGAGAAATCTAGAAACGTTCTATTTTCTCCGTTTTCCCTGGTTTTTTGCTCTTTGATATCAATTCATTGACCTCCAACTGCTTATTATTTATGTCAGAAATTCAATCACTGAGAAATTCACAATAGCTATGTTTCAACCTCAACTGGTCGTTTAGGAAGTAGAGACGACTTCAGTTGCCTATGTTTCATTGGTTATCAAGGCGAGATGTGCGAGGAGCAAGTCGCTGGTGGGCATCTATCGAATTTTATCTTGTCTTATTTGTTGATAAAACTAAAGCGGTCATCTCATCTGTGGAGCAAATGTAAGCAAAACCTTTGTCGTAGATCAATTTAGCATACGTCCTTGGGTTTCACCGTTATCATCAACAACGTCATAAGCCTAATGTATGTACAGCGTCCGTGTTTCGAGTAACATGGATGTCTACTTAAGTGTATAATATAGTTATTGATCACCACTACCAAGTTCTCCATATAGCTATTTTACACATCGGCCGAGTGCATTTGTGACCATTGAGATATCCGCAAACCCATCGGCTTCAGGTCACAAGGAATTTGATGTTGTTTTAAAAAATAGTACCTGCTCAGCTTCAGCTACTCTTGTTTTATAATTTGGATATGAAAAAAATCTAGCGGAAGGAAGCAGGGTTTAAATTCAAGCTTTCACTTACTATAGGCAGTAACTGAACTGTATTAAGGTCTACAAGCACAGCCCAGGATGCCGGAAGCCTGCAGTGCTGCAGATTGCAACAATCAAGGCGTTTGTATTGGCACCAAACAGTTACCGTTTTGCTTATGTAACCTTGGCAGGATTGGCGTGTACTGTGAAAGTACTGTCACCGATCTAAGTAGGTGGTATATTTTCATTATGACTTTGGTCTACAAGAAGAACATTGCTTGACATATTACTGATGCTCATGATCTTCAACATCAAATTCATTTTTTCCCTATTTATGCTGTCAAAGGGCGTCAAGCCAGAGGACGCGTGTGGCGCAATGGTCGGAGGAAACGATCTCCGGCAATACACACGTGGAATCGATCTCCGCTCCCATGATCCACCAAGCTTTCCATACCCCTGGAACTGGTAAATTGGTACCAGACTTGTCTGGGAGGATAGCAGCACTGGCTCGATACATCGGTAGGCCTCGATGAGTCGTGGTAAAGGCCAGACTTGCATTCATTCACCTCCAAACGATGCTTAATGAACTCGGATGCATGGCGCATCCTTCAGGGACTTAGCAACGTTGAGGGCTTTATCCTTTTTATCGTATTTTATGCTGTAAAGTTGCTGGATTTATAACGAATTTGTGTATTTTTGTGCTAAAACATTATAGACTACACGGTTTTTTAGCGAACGTCGATCCAAATGCACCGATCGCCATATGCTCTCCGAGTGACTGTAACAATAAGGGTTTATGCTTTGGCACGAAGAACTCATTTATCTGCGCTTGCCATATCGGTTACACTGGTTCCACATGTGAAAAGAGTAAATTTAACTTCTCTTAGACGTTCTTGAAAAAGTAGGATTAGCTTGGTTTAGAGCTTTAGAAAACTCTCAGTAGTAGTGGACCTTCTTGAGATTATGCCAACCTGAGCTTAGAGATAGACCTAGGCTTAGGTGCACTCATTGGGAGAGATTTCTTTCTTGAAGACGAACTCTGTTCAAATTTATGGTAGCTTAGCATAAAATAGGCCCCGTTGTCCTCGATTTTAAAGGTGAATTTCTGTTCCAAGAAAAAAAAATTCTGAGAGGACTTCGTAGTTGGTTCAAACTGTGGCTGTAATCGCTGAACTAGGACAAAGCCTTTTTACAGAAAAGTTAACGAAACTTCCATAATACAGCCTTTATCTAAGAGTTCACCTTAAAGAAGTAACTATACCTAGTGATAAAATCGCATTTGCAATAATATGTATAGCCTAATACGATAGATTAGAGCTCGTAACAACTAGGGCTCGCCTTATCACCTGTGAGCTACAAATCCACCCACACTCACACCTCAGTAGCTTACAAACTAGTAAAACAGCGAAGCTATCTAGACATCGTTCAGACTACACTTGACATACTGTGGTCTTAGGGGTTTGTCTTAATCAAAACTTCAAATTAAAATCACTTCACATAACTTTCCTTTACACTTTTCAATGATGTGCGCAGGAAATTTTGCCCAAGCCTTGGTGCTGAAAGGTTTCCAGCTCCATTCACACTGTGCGATCCTCGTGACTGCAATTCCAATGGAATCTGTATCGGTACGAAGAAAAAATTTACTTGTGCTTGTCACCTTGGATATTCGGGCGAGCGATGTGAAACCAGTAAGCGGCACTCATTTCTTTGACTTCTTTCTTCTTCTATCTTAATATTTTCGACGAGCCAGAAAGAACTGCTACGGAGCACTGTTCTCAATTTTTTGAACACTTTGGTGTATTTTGGTAATAGCAAAATGCAAAGAAAACTTATTAACAGAAGACATTTATTTTATTTGACTCGTCTTCGTGTCTATTGTGCGAATCCTAGCACTTCTCATATTAGATTCGTTTCCTCGCATCCATTGTCCACAAAGATCTCCCAACTTTTACGTGTGGCTTCGGCTGTTAATTGAGGACTTTCATTTCATGTTGAATGTCGAATGCTGGTCGAGCAGTTCTTTCTGGAGTCCTGAGATAGCCGGGCTGGAGCGTTCCTAATTAGATTGCACAGAGTGATTTTTTTTTCCAGACAAGTCCGCTACCAATTGGCCGACCTCGCAGGGAAGAGGGATTTGGTTGGCCCGGAACGGAATCGATCGCACTAGCACTATGCTCGTGATGACGAACAACACTACCACTGTGCTAGCCTCCCACTATAAAAGACATTCAACTGCAGAATGAGAATATATACTACTCGAGTTATTTTCTTTTGGTCATTCCCTTATTAACCATTTCACCAAGTAGATTGGCGTTCCTTGGTATCAAAATGAACAAACTCCACTGTGGAACCCCTAACCACAACGGAACAACAGGAGAAGGAAAGGATTATTGATGTTCATACGGATTCCCGTCTTAGGCTGAAATCACTATAGTTTTCGAAAATAACCGAGTGCGAATCTCCCAGTCGTCACTTCAGTCTACAAATGTAGGCGGCAACACTGTGATAATAATTGATTTATCGCATGATTCTTCAGGGTTAAAAACTTAACCAAAAAATGGCAAGCGGACTAAAAATATATTGACATTTTAACAATTCTTTATGAAAATTAGAAGGGTTCTAGTTAAGTAGGACGGAATAAGTCATTAAAACAGTGTAAAAATCACAAGAGAATCACAAAGAATGAGAAGGACGAAGGATTCCGTTCTGATCAATCGCTGAGAGATTCGCCATGCATTCAACGTCATCAAGCATTGTTAGGATTGAATACGTATTTTCCTTGTATAATGACTAGCGGTAACCCACCGATGTATTGAATCAGTGCTGCTATCCTCCCAGACAGGTCTGGTACCAGTTTGCCAGAACCGAAAGGACGGAAGGCTTGATTAACCCGGGGTGCGGGATCAAATCAAAAACCCCGTGTATTTTGTGGTGCACCACCAACCAACAGCAATTATTTTGTCAACAGTTTTTGACAGCCACCCTCTAATTAACATGTGAGAAGTGTTAGGTGACGTGTACTCTTTAAATGACAAGCTAACACTAGGTTGATAGGCAAATTTATCCTACAAATGCTTTGATGTCTTCATATTCTTCGGAGCCGATGATCCGAGTTATTCCCACAGTCTTTCGTACACATGAGATAAGAGATACTACGTATACTTCGTATATGGCAGATACCATTTAAATTAAGACACTTGGAGAGCTGACTGCTTGTGAAAATCCCGACATTTTTCCACAATGACGTTGATATAACAGAAAATTTGAAATGAAAAAAATTTGAAATTTGAAAAATAGAATAGATGCGTACCATTTATGAAGAAAGTTGTGAAGTAAAATAGATATCCGTTAGCTTTAGTAACGGGCACGATATGCGAGATGGCTGACTGCAACTCAGCCGGTCTTTGCATTGGAACCAAGTCGAAGTTTAGTTGCATTTGTAGTGCTGGCTATAGTGGTGATCGATGCCAGACACGAATTGGTGAGAGAATTCATTTGTTTTTGCAGCATATACGCAAGAAATGAGAATGTCGCAATAAAAATAGTAGGCTATGAGGTTCTGGATTCTCTCAAGGGCAAAGTACCCTTCAACCAGTGTAAACTAAGAGAGAATACGTCACAAGGGCGCAAGGAAAGGAGAACTAGGAGCTGCCCACTTTATCCATAACTCATCCTCTCACAATTATCGACTTTGAAATGGTTTTATGTCAATCTAAAAAACATTGTGACGATTTTTCCAGCCACCAGTTCATTCCCTATACGATAACGAATAGTGCTAACCAAGGAACCTTTTCCACTTTTTGATGCACCTTTATAATATCTTAACTTCTGTCGTTCTGATAGGGTTTTCAATGATAATTTTCATTATCCTCCTTAACCAGTTCGTTTGTGATAGAGAAACGTTCTTGGGTGTTATGAAGGTTACCAAAAACTTTACTTAGTGAGATTACCCTAACAGCAATAACAGTTTTTAACGATTAATTTCCAGGAGTTCTGCCTGGATTCGAAGGTGCTGTCTGCGAAACAAAGGACTGTAGTGGGAACGGCATTTGCTTAGGTTCCAAACTCGCTCCATTATGTTTGTGTGCACCGGGTTTTTTTGGAATTCGATGCGAACTTGGTACGTTCAAAAGTTATCCTTCACGGGAAATCGGAAGAGGATCAGTGATATAAAAAACTGAGGTGATAATGTATTCGTTAGTTACATGCTTTTAAAGTAACACCGAAATCTGCGCTAACATCTCGACCTAAGTTGAGGTCAGTATTGGAAATCGCTTGGGAGATGCCAGAGCATAGGTTTAAATGATGTCGAAGGATAAAGAGGCTGTTATTCAGCACACGTTTAATTCCTCACAAGTGTAACGCATACAACAGAACGGTAGCTGGCGTTTCGGGAGTATCGCCTTCTTCAGAGCCTGGAAGGGTACACAGGGTAATTTGCTAGGTCAAACGCTTCAAGAGCGCAAACAGAAAGATGAAAATCTGAACAATAGTTACACGATCACCGGCTTCTCGAAAAGCTCGGATTCCCATCTTTTTGTTTGCGTTATTGAGCGCTTGACCTAGCAAATTAGATATTAGTGTACCCTTCCAGGCTCTGAAGATTGTGTTATACTTATGAGGAATTAAACGTGTGCTAAATAACAACCTCGCCATTGCTGCAAAAAAGAGAACAACAAATTTATAATCCAGTGCCGAGGTTAATAGAAAGTCGATCTTGGGAACTGATAAAGAGGCTATTTCCTTTAGATAGTTGCAAGCTAGCCACCCTATACAGGCAAAGCAAGGTAGCTCATTTAGTCATATTCAAGTGCTCATTCCGCTTTCTGTCTGGTTGGAAGATTTATCTGCAAATTGTCATTCTGTGCCCGACATAGTTGCAAATTTAACTATTAACTAACGGTTAAAGGATGCAGCTTTCGGCATTGATGTCATCCTGGGAAATGGCCATGAAGATGCACTTCAGAGGTAGCCGAATACTTGTTTAATCTATACAATGACATGTTCATTGTTCTTCTTCGAAAAGATTTTCTTAACTATCGTCCGATATGCTTGTTCAATGTACTCTACAAGCTCTACGCGAAGCCACTGTTGCGCATATGAAGGATATTCGGTGAGGAGCAAGCAGTTGAGCAAGCAGGATTTCGGCAAAGATTTTGCTGCACGGACCACATCGAAACTGTGTTTAGGGTCATTGAAATTTGTTGGGAATACCATCTGCCTGTGCCGCCTTGACTTTCGTCCACTATAAAAAAGGCTTTTGGCACTGTCGAAACGAATGCAATCCTATAAGCACTCGTAGACAAGGAGTAAACCGGTCCTACATAAGAACTCTATCTGATTGTTATCGGAACTGCACTATGAAAATATAGCTTTTCCATCGACATGTTTCCATATCAACAAGAAAAGCTGCTCGACAACACGACACCACATCGTCAAGGCGGTTTAATGCACTGCGGTGGATAATAGTCATTGGGATGAGAGAGGCATACGTAAGGATGGAAAATTCTTACCAAACCTTTGTTTCGCCAACGGCCAGTGGGAGAGGTACCAGCGAAGCAGAAACGATGATCAATGCTCTCAGCGAAGTGAGAAGGAAGATCGGACTAACTATAAATCGGAGGAAGGCCCAGTTAATGAAAAACACATGATACGAAAGCAAACAGAGCAAATTGGAGGGCTTTCTGTTTATAGACACCACCACGTGCCCATAACTTGGGCATTAAATGAAGATAGAGGAAAACATAAAGGAAGAATTAGACAGAAAAAAATGTTGAGCCGTGTTTGGGTTTCTCAAACTAGCCGCCAAACAACTAAAAGACCCTAAAATTTGTGCTCACCTTTTTGATTCAACAGCCCACTCAGCGCTCTGTTACGCAGAGGAGACGTGGCCTCATATAACGATGTCTTCTTAAATATATACATTACCTAGTCGGAATATACATGTCTGGTCTTCGAAATCCGTCTCATCTTTTAGACCCAGGATGACAAACATCGCTAGCAAAATACGATGGTGCGGTCATATAATGAGAAGAACATACGGTGGATGGATGAAAAAAACTATAGAGTGGACTCCACGTGGAATACACGTCTTCTAAGACGGTCACCTACACTTTGGGCAAAGCTGTTCGTAACAAAATCAATCAGCTATACTCGCAGCTGCAGTTGTTTTGCAGATTTCAGTACGAAACTCGTACCCGTCACCATGCTCCAGATAAAGCACCATCAAAGACGACGACTTCGAACAAAGAAAGGAATGGAAAATGCGCAGAAACTCGCATAGCTCATAAAGACGGGCTGTTTAAGTAAGCAAGTTAGTAAGTATGACATGCGATGGCCTATCGATGTGCCATGCTGGTGATTTCATCTTTCCAGGCAAGCATGCTAGCAGCTTGGTGATCCGCAAAAAATGGAGTGCTAGGTTTTCTCGAGGCGGGAATTGAAACAATGGCGAAGTATGCATTGCTAATCACTGCATTGTAACCGCCATAATTTCTGACCAATTCTGTCTAATAGTATTGATTGATAAATAAACGGTTTTTCACTAGTAACGCAGTTTCCGAAAAACTTTCGTGTTTAGAACCGCTATGCAACTCGCTTCTACACTGCTCTGGCAATGGAATATGCGTAGGCACAATCAAGTCGTTCACTTGCATTTGCAACCTTGGCTGGACCGGTGTAACTTGTGCTCAGTCAACACTGCTTGGATAGTGCGCGTCTAGTACAGAGCACTTCATTTCACTCTGTTACTCAGTGATCGCACGTTGGGATAAAAGTGCTCTTCCATGGCTTCTGAGAAGAGTAGTAAAATGTATAGAAGGCACTCTACGTGAAATGTTCTTTATCTTTCGTTTTCCAAAATTTTCCCGTACCAAGTGTATATTCCTCTTAGTTGTATTTACCACATTCATGTGATGTATTATGTTTCAAGTCTTTTGACATGAGTACAGCGTGTTTGGTATACTTTCCCACCCATCAATAAACACCAGGCGCAGTATCATCTAAGCGGCTGTTCTTCCTGGTTGGAAGGTAGGTGAAAAAACGGCTCTGAAGAAGGCAATACTTACGAAAAGTCAGCTACCGTTGTGTTGTATGTGTTCTGTATGTACGGAAGTAAACGTGCTGAATAACAACCTCGCGATTGCTGAGAAAGAGAACGACACATTTATAATTCAATGCCGAGGTTACTAGAAAGTCGATCTTGGTAACTGAGAATTAGGACGCTTTTTTTTTTAAAGACAAACATGTTTATTTATCTTAGTTTCATGAAATTTTGGAGTTCTGGAAGCGATGAATTCGTTGAAGGCATTTTTTGCGTCATCATGCTTGGTGAAGCATTTCTCGCCTAGGAAGTTGTCAAGGTGCTTGAAAAAACGACAGTCTGCAGGTGAGAGATCTGTTGAATATGGCAAATGAGGTAAAGTTTCGTAGCCCAACTCGTTCAACTTCTACAGCGATGGCTCCGCAACGTGAAGTGGTCTACCCGTTTCCCCGATATATTCCTCGGAGCATGCATTACATGAGATCAAGTATATTATACCTAAACTCATGCAATCCCCGTCTCTCCCGTTAGGACAGATCATACAGTTTTCTGAGCTGCACAAACGATCATAGAGACGGTTTCAAACTAACTGGCGGTGTAGGGTATTGGGTGGGATGTCAATAATCGTTACATAATTTTCAACACCACTTTTTCTTAAGCACTTTTTAATGGCGTGACTTACTTCATTTTATATGAAGGGCAGCTTAAAGGGGATCCTACTTTCGTTTGAAATATCATTTTGGGAAACTACCCAACGTTTTCCTCTAAACCGAGTGGCTTCTACTTCATAGCCATTGGAAATGGCAATTTTTCGTGACAGGTTTTGCGATTCCTTCCTTTCCTCTTCTGCTGTACACACATTTTTAGCTGTACGATACATATTTTTGCCAGTTAGTTCGAAACCGTCTCTATGATCGTTTGTGCAGCTCAGAAAACTGTATGATCTGTCCCAACGGGAGAGACGGTGATTGCATGAGTTCAGGTATAATATACTTGATCTCATGTAATGCATGCGGCGAGGAATATATTGGGGGAAACGGGTAGACCACTTTGTGTCCGCATAAAAGAATATCTAGATGGGAAAGCCAAAATCCGTTTAAACACCCCTATAGGTACGCATAGGGCACAAAAGCATAACGGAGATGATTTTGAAGTGACTGTGCGGATCCTAGTGCAGGAATGAAAAACATCAACGCGCAAAACTCTTGAGGCGTTTTGGATTAATTTCAAAAATCCAAAGATGAACCGGAAGGACGAATACCTCGCTATCACACGTGACCTGGCGCCCTATTTCAAAATGATATTTTGACCCCGGGGCGTGTCTTGCTCGCGACTCCACGTGAACTACGTGTGGGCCAGTCCCACACGTAACATCACGGTGAGTTGCCTTTCTGTTCAATATGGCGTCTATTTGAAAGTTTGATCTTCATTATTACTTTAACCTTCTTTTCCACCGAATAATAAAAAGTATTCTTACATAAAGTACGTCCAGGCTCTGAGGAAGGCGAAGTCGACGAAACATCAGCCATCGATCAATAACATCAAAAACAACGACAACGGCAACGAAGATCTGTACCAACCTCGCGCCAGCGTCAGCCAACCTCGTCAGAAGATCAGCTTATAAGATCGCATAAATAAATATACCAAAAGCTTTACTTATTTCGATTGGTATTGTCGATAAATCGGCTAATTACTAAGGTAAATGCAGCAGATTACACAATATTATTCGATGTTTCTTTTCTCCAGGTTTTTTCGCGACGTTTTTCAGCCACCTCTTAGACTTGTTACATATTGCAGGATCCTTTTGTCAAAAAGCTAACAAAATCTCGACATGGCCTCTAATAAGTCGGGCGGGTGTGTAGAGAAATTCCTTCTTGAAAAGTTCTCTATCTATCAAAAAAACAATAGTATTATTTAATGCCGATACTATGGTCCTCTCGCAGCCTTACCGCCAGGGGCCGGAATATGCACGTCCAGTGTTCCAGGCAGTTGACTCTAGTTGTACAACAGCGATGGCTTATCCGAGGATGGAGGCGTAGGAGTAGAACAGTTTACTACTGCTTTGTGAAGCAACGAAGCTCAACAAAGTTTGATGCTTCAGGCTATTAAGTACAGTTTATTCCAGCATAGGATCAACGATCCAGATCAGCTTCGGTTGCATACGCACACAGCTACCGCAACCTATATAAGCCATATGCCATGGACGGCAGGACATGCCATCACTCACCTCGCTGCCGATCGGTAATGTGGATAATCCACTCCTTGCAACATCACCCTTAGTTGTCATCTTTGACTATCTCTCTTTCCTCACTCGCCCTTACTCACCCTCAGTCATCCTCATTTGTCCCCAGCTATCCCCAGTTATCCTCAGTTGTCCTCAGCCATGCTCAGTTATCCTCAGACCAACGTTTTTCGTTTCTTAGCTAGACTGCGGTGCGTCGTCAGCAACGGCGGGTGTTTCCAAATGCGTTCTGCTTGCAAGGCCATCGGTGGCATGTAGCATTCCTGTCACAATGTACGCCATGCGTACAAGGCCGCTGATCGGCCAACTTATGCTGTGTTATCTGTTACGCCACTATAGTTGGCTGATCAGTTCTCAGTCGTTATCTTTCTGGCTCATAATATCTTAGGCGAAGGCGGCATACATCAATGTTCAAACTTCACGTTGCGGACATAGCGTTATCCATGACCCTGACTGACTATGTTCCCTAGAAGATTCATCAATCGTTGTCCATGACACCATCAATGCTCGTGTAACTTACTATCCTCTTCTATCATGCTCAAGTGCACCGCATCGCTACAATAAAGATCCTTAGCTCAGCCGAAAGCACGGCTCGTCTGAATCCCTCCGCCCCCAACATATTCTCCCTCAGCCACCGCACCGGCCACGGATAGTGCGAGTGCGGCATCGCCCATGGATAACCAGCCGTTATTTTTACGTTGTTATTATTTCTGCCCATTGTCTTGCTATTAGCCTTACTTCACTACTAGCCATAGCACCTAATAACTTTGACTTGCATGATTCTTGCGCCACTACTTTTCTGTCGTTATTATTATGTTATTAATGACGTATTTATGTATATAAACGGTTTAATTGCCCAAGTGTGAGATGGTTGATCAATAGAGCATCTAAGAGACCCGCGTGGCAAATTCATCTGCACAGGCTGAACCACTCCTTTCCATACCTTACTATTTATTACAGATATGAAGAGTAGCTCGAAAGATTTTATTTAGGTTTGGAACGATGTTATTCGGCATAATCCTAGCTTGTGATCTGACCCGTATAGCTACTGCCTCGTAGCAATTAGAAATAGCTACTTTTTGTGTGAGCTTGTTTCCCTTGTTTCCTCTTTTCCTTCTGTGCACGCAGTTCTAGCCAGGCGACCATTAATAAGTGCTCTTTCCATGTTTAATGGGCTGTAAGATAGGCAATACAGTTGTATATTTTTACTGCTTGCTTTCCTAGGCATTTTATGATGAAGCCACTTTCTGAGACCGTATTTGTATATTTAACATCAGAATATATATTTCCCTTTCGATCTTTCTCGGGCAAATTTTGTATAGCTTGACGGTCTATTTAGCAATTTGCCGCATTCGACCATATCTTTTTTCGTAGACAATGCAATGAACAACTGTTTATATATTGACAGTAGAAGAGCAGGTGATCGAGAACTGGCACTTCTAGCTTAGACATAAAGCAATGGCTAGGTTTAGCTTCTTGATGCTGTCAGCGTTGATTAATCGTTCAGGGTGGCCCATGCATTCGACATCATTAAGCAACGTTTGGAGATGACTGAATGCATGCCTGTCCTTTACAATGACTCGCTGTGGCCCACCGATGTATCGAGCCATGCTGCTATCCTCTCAGACAAGACTGGTATCAACTTGCCAACCCCGGAGGGATGGAAGGCTTGGTGGGCCATGGGCGCGGGGATCAATTCCATGTGTGTGTTGCAGTGGCGCCTCCAACTACTGCGCCAGATGCGCCCTTCACTTAGCTTACCCCACTGTATAGGCATTAAAACGCAATAAAAATGCGAGAAAAAGATGTTTTTAACTAAAAAATGGTTAAAAGGAATAGGATGAGCTTCATACCAAAGTAAATAGTGAAGATCCCAGCTCCTGGACCTCGAAAATCGTCAGTAAGTCAACTGAATTGCACAGTCATTTGCTTAATTTCACTACAGATATAGTTATTATATTTCCACTTGAACTTTTTCATATAAATGAAGTTTGAATCTATTAATTTATTGTAGTGGATTGGCATCGTGTTACACTGTGGTTTTAGTAAACTGTTAGATTCTTAATGTATCCAGGGAGCAGATCTTTTATGTCTTAGATGCCGAGGTGTTTCTTCATAGTAATAATAGCAATACAATAGTAATGATGTGACAATGTCTAGAGAAAGTAACAATAGAGAAGTAATGGCAACGGACTGACGCGAGTTAGAAGCTCTGAGGTGCTAAGGCTAGTAGTGAGGTGAGGCTACCAACGAGATAATGGCATTCGAATATCAATGTATCATTAATACAATATTAACAGTAATAATAAATGACTACAAAGAAGTAACCGTTGGTTAGCCGCGAGTGATGCCGCGCCGCGTCATCCGCGGCCTGTGCGGCGGCTAAGGGAGACAGACTTACTGTCCTCATCGATCCACTAAAATGCT